TACCCAGTCCTGCTGCTGAAAGTGTCCGATGGTCACCCAGGGTGGTGACCTTGACAATATATGTCAAGGTCAACATTGTTGTAGTTGAATTCTCTGTTTCATTTTTAATAACTTCGGAACGCTCGACGGGTGACTGCTAAACCTTCCGAAGGTTATTCAGTGTGATGATAATGTATGGGAAGGTCAAGGTCATCGGAGGTGAATTTTAATTTTAATAACTTCTTAATAAGCAAAACCTTTCGATGGTCACTAAGGGTCATAACCTTGACAATATATGTTACGGTCAGCGTCATCGGAGTTGAATTCTCTATTTTATTTCTTCATTTTTAATAACTTTTTAACGTGAGATGGGTGACTGCTAAACCTTCCGAAGGTTGCAGGAAATGTAGTGGGAAAACAAATACGTTTGCCGCAGGTCTATGTTAAAGAATAATTCCAGATTGAACAAAGGAATAAAATTAAGTAAAAGTTACCGAAATGTTTAAAATACTGATGAAAAGGCTACCCAAAGTTGAATTTTTATAGTTAAGAATCTTTCCATGGTTCTTATTTTATGAATCGTGTGACTGAATAATTAATTGAAAAGGAACATTTTACGCAAATATATTTGTATAAAAAATGCAGGGATGGGAAGTAAAGTAACGCCGTAAATTTTATCATTTATAAAAACGACTTGATGACTATTTCATTGCAACTAACTATACTAATTTTGTGTTAAGCTTGGAAAAGTCACTTTGAGAGGTAACTCTTAACTATATTACGTGATTATTTACTGAAGAAATAATTTGTTATGAGTAGTCACAAAAATAAAAAAATCTACTTAATTTTAATGATATGTATTAGGTAAATCAAAGATTTGATATCAATAATGGGCGTTAAATTATAATGTTTAAAAATTACCTATAATTATTATTTATTATTATTATTGTTATTTCTTCCCCGTCCACCTCTGCTGCCTCTTTGCGGTCCCCAATGGTAATGGGCCGCGGACAGCCGTATTAGAAACCATTTATCAATGATTATAATCCGGTTATCAAATTAGCCTGGAAGGGGAATATGGACATACAATTTATTGGAGAAAAATCAGAGTTTTTAAACTCATAAATTAACAAAATACACGACAAAGTCGGAGAAATGCAATAGAGACTTTGCAATGATAGATTTCAATAAGTCCTTGGCATCGAGGAATTTTGCGATGCGTTCATTGAATAACAGAGAATGCGATGCTTTAGAAGCTGCGGACACACTACTAGGGAATCTCTTCTATGGTACGGACAGTGATACCATTGTCAAATGGATTGACGTTAATGAGATGAGAAACAGGAAAGTTAAAACATTCAATGAAATTAAAGCTCTCGATGAAAATTCTACGAATATTTATTATCCGTCGTTCATCGATGATTACTATCCAAGCAGATCTAAGGAATTAGAATCATTTAATTTGTACGATTTTGCCAGATTTTGAGAAATTACGAAACAGATGCCAAAAAATGACGAAGTCGTAGCGGTCGTAGGATCTTAAGTCGTAGAAAATTAACCAATCACAGTCGAATATGAGAAGAATAATCAACTGTGATTGGTCAATTTTCTACGACTTAAAACCCTACGACCGCTACGACTTCTATTGTAGACCCCGCATTACAAACTTATATCGAGTTTAAAAAAACGAAAAAAGTGTTACTTAATTAACTAATCACAGTCGAATATGAGAAGAATAATCGACTCTGATTGGTCAATTTTCTACGATTTAAGATCCTACGACCTCCACGACTTCTATTGTAGATTCCGCATAAAGGCCATCACACGTACAAAAATTTTAGTTGTAATCATAAGACCGTAAGCAAATCGGCCAATCACAGTCGAGCATTTCTTAAAAACGCGAGATCTTAATTTTGATTGGTCGATTTGCTTGTGACCTTATGATTTCGACTAAAATTTTTGTACGTGTGATGGCCTTTACTCTTACCAGAGAGAAGCCTAAGGGCCATAGCACACAAAAAAATTTAAGCAATAAAACGTAAGCAGTAAGCAAATTGACCCATCATAGTAGAGCCCGTAAGGCCATAACATAAGCAGTAGCGAATCCAATATGTTGATTTCCTTACTGCTTACGTCTTACTACCTTAAGTTTTTTGTGTGCCAGGACCCTTAGGGTGCCGTCACATGTACACGGAATCGGAATGACGGAACGGATTTCTTACTAGAAATAAGTTCACTATTTTGTTCGGTAAGAAGTTTCTCTGCTGTATCGGAACCATCGGAACTATGGCCGGAACGGTACAACGGAATCAACGGAATGTTACATCGATTATGATTTTAGAAGCTGTATTTGCTCCAATACGAAATGCATATGAAAGAGATGCCATACTATCACCAGATGCCAACCAGCGTAAAACCAGTTGCAATCTTGTACGAGATGAAATTGGAACTCGGCATAATTCTTGCTTCTCAATAAGTGGTCCAACTAATGACAGCAGTTCTTCAAATAATTCCGGAGTCATTCTAAAGTAATTGAAGAACTTCTCACGATCGGTCGTTTGCATTTCAACGACTAAATTGTCACTTGCGCCTTGAAGATGTCTCATTCTTTGTGTAAACATTGGCCGTACCCAAAATTTTCGTTTTCTTGTATATTTTTTATTTTGTAATAAAATATTATAAGCGAAATATAATTTTCGTACTCTCTTAAATATCAGAATAGCACGCCAACTTGGCATATTTCTTGCATTTCGCAATAATTTTAACATTACAGTTAACACTACTTCTTCGTCCATCGTTGTAATCTCCAAAAAAAAGGTTTCTGAATATTTGTTTTAATTTCACATTCAACCATCTGAGGTGAACATACCATTCCGTTCCGTAAGAAGTTTCTCTACCCGTCCCATGTAGCCGGAACGCAATGGAATTTTGGTAACATAATATATCTCACTCTTATAATTCAGTATTTTTAAGTATTCAAAGTAATGTTATAAATAAGATAATTGCACAAATTATGCATATTACTGCTTTAGTCGCATTAAAATAACGAAATATCGATTAAATTAGGCAAATTAACTTGCGACCGAGGCGACATTCCGTCCATTTTCATTCCGTTCCGGCTACATGGGACGGGTAGAGAAACTTCTTACGGAACGGAATTGTAGTGATCTCAAATTTTCTAGTAAGAAATCCGTTCCGTCGTTCCGATTCCGTGTACATGTGACGGCACCCTCACTCTGTGTGTCGACATCTATGATCTGACGCAAACGACCGTCATAATGAAAATTGTGCATGAGCACCTATAAAAGGTCTGTTCGCGTTGCTTGCACTTTTGGCACTCGGCATCAGACCTAATAAGCGCGCCCTGGTGCGCACTAAAGGCCATCGCACGTACATAGGGTGCCGTCACATGTACACGGAATCGGAACGACGGAACGGATTTCTTACTAGAAATAAGTTCACTAGCATTTTGTTCGGTAAGAAGTTTCTCTGCTGTATCGGAACCATCGGAACTATGGCCGGAACGGTACAACGGAATCAACGGAATGTTACATCGATTATGATTTTAGAAGCTGTATTTGCTCCAATACGAAATGCATATGAAAGAGATGCCATACTATCACCAGATGCCAACCAGCGTAAAACCAGTTGCAATCTTGTACGAGATGAAATTGGAACTCGGCATAATTCTTGCTTCTCAATAAGTGGTCCAACTAATGACAGCAGTTCTTCAAATAATTCCGGAGTCATTCTAAAGTAATTGAAGAACTTCTCACGATCGGTCGTTTGCATTTCAACGACTAAATTGTCACTTGCGCCTTGAAGATGTCTCATTCTTTGTGTAAACATTGGCCGTACCCAAAATTTTCGTTTTCTTGTATATTTTTTATTTTGTAATAAAATATTATAAGCGAAATATAATTTTCGTACTCTCTTAAATATCAGAATAGCACGCCAACTTGGCATATTTCTTGCATTTCGCAATAATTTTAACATTACAGTTAACACTACTTCTTCGTCCATCGTTGTAATCTCCAAAAAAAAGGTTTCTGAATATTTGTTTTAATTTCACATTCAACCATCTGAGGTGAACATACCATTCCGTTCCGTAAGAAGTTTCTCTACCCGTCCCATGTAGCCGGAACGCAATGGAATTTTGGTAACATAATATATCTCACTCTTATAATTCAGTATTTTTAAGTATTCAAAGTAATGTTATAAATAAGATAATTGCACAAATTATGCATATTACTGCTTTAGTCGCATTAAAATAACGAAATATCGATTAAATTAGGCAAATTAACTTGCGATCGAGGCGACATTCCGTCCATTTTCATTCCGTTCCGGCTACATGGGACGGGTAGAGAAACTTCTTACGGAACGGAATTGTAGTGATCTCAAATTTTCTAGTAAGAAATCCGTTCCGTCGTTCCGATTCCGTGTACATGTGACGGCACCTTTAGAGTGCCGTCACATACAGCCTGTAATCCGTAATCCGCACCGGATTTCTGCAAAAGTTACTAGGTATTGCGTCCGTAATGTTATGCGGGGTCTACAATAGAAGTCGTTGCGGTCGTAGGATCTTAAGTTGTAAAAAATTGACCAATCATAGTCGAATATGAGAAAAATAATCAACTGTGATTGGTCAATTTTCTACGACTTAGGACCCTACGACTGCTACGACTTCTATTGTAGACCCCGCATAATGCTTTCCCTAATTTTATCTATTTGACTAAATTTAACGATTTAATTAAAACTTTTGTCAAAATATATTCAGTAATTAATCAAAATATATTCTGTAGTTTTCTTATCAAATAAAATAAAAATGAACAGAATAATTTCTTAAATAAAAAATATTACATTTACACGTCCGCATTTTGCGGCTCCATGGGACACAAGGAGCATGTAAGCACGCAACGCAATTGCACTCCGACGTCAAACAAAAATAAACGTGCCATAATCTATCTTTAATTTATAAATAGTGATTAATTTGTTTGACAACAATTTTGAAATTAGAAGTACATAATGAATCTTTGATATAAGTTATTAGTGCAAATACAACAAATGGTCTGTTTTCTGATATGCACTAGACTGCACTAGAACAGTGATGCGAATTCCGGGCCGCTTGCAGCACGCGATCAGCGCCACCGATCGGCGGCCTGGCGCAACCGATGGCAACACAAGCACGAGCCCGTGTCCGTGTGACTTGGTAGTTGGAAGCGTGCCGACTATACTCTGAACGAGTGCGAAAAGGTC